TGTGAAAACAGGAATTGCTGGATGCTCCACGGAATTCAGGATGCTGACACAACTACTGGCATCCTGGCCACAAGTATAAGGCCTACCTCAGAATTAAAATTGTTCTCCTCAATAACGTGGGAACACCCGTTGAAATTGTTTCTGCCCTTTTTCAGATTTGTGAAGGGTCCAAAATCACCGAAGCTTTCAGAATAGCAAAAATGTTGTTCTTTAAGAACTGCATTTAAGGATGTCCTGACTTAGGAGATCCATTTTTATTTTCCATGGGACATATCCATGCACGTATGAAGATTTTGAGTATAGGATTTTTTTTTTCCTCTGAACAACCTCTTCAATATATACATTTGGCAACCCCTATACAGAACTGATGGTCCCACCTGCTCCAGAAAAAGCAACTAATTGCCCCCCCCCCTTTTTTTTTTAATTGCGGAAGTGCTGCTTCAAAAATCCCAGCACAGAAACACAGTTATTTTCTGTAGTTCTTTCTGGTTTTGCAAAAACACAACAGGATTCCCCATTCTCCTTTTAACCTGAGTGCTACATTTTGCTCATCTATTTACAGTGATATTGATCCTAAAGAGATTTCATGTCCTGAAGCCTCATGCTTACTCGTATTATTTTTGGCTTTAAATGTACATCACTAAAACTGGCAGCCTTTGATAGGTTACGCTAGATGAAAACCTGACCTTTTTAGCCTTAATTATCATCTATGCAACAGTTAAAAAAATATGGCAGACATGGCAGTTACTTTCACAGCTTAGTGGATTGAAAGGCTGCAAGAAGTCTTTCTTAATGTACATACTGTACCAACTTTCACCCAATTTTACATTATTTCTTCTACCAACAGGGGTAAAACAACAGACAGCAGCATTTAAACAGACAGTATTTGAAGAATCCTTTCTGCAGGCTTGTTTAAACAAGGTCCTTTTTAACAATAATGTTAATCTTGAGTGTTTCATTTCACAGATAACTAAGAAACTACAGTCTGTTAAAAAAGATGGACATGCAAATCATTCTACCACTGATGTGAATACCAACAAAAGCTGAATGCTCACCTATAGAGAAGCAAAGCAGAAGGGGTTTTGTTCCTATTCAGAGTGCCGAGTTCTAAAAAAAGGTTAAATAAATTTTTATTCAGTCATCGGATGACAGCTAAACATACGTTGTAAAAAATCTTATGTGAAATCTTTGTTATTTGCAGTTAACTGAAGTTTAGGAAGCATCCAACTGTTGTACATCAATTACCATGTTATTACATCCATCCTGCTTGTACGCTTCTCCAAGGATTGAGACCAATTCCTACCTCTGACTCATCCCCTCCCACCCCCCAAAATGTAAGTATGACTCTACAACATATTCTTAGGAACAGCAACAGCATTTACTTACCAGAGGCGATACAGCCGTGGTACAAAATGGAGGGAACTACAGAGTTCCGTGGCAACTACCGATGCATTTGAAACATTTAATTATATTTGAGCTTTTCCCTCCTCTTTGTTTTTTCTCCCCCTGCCTTACAGAGTTTGCAGTAAAAACAATTCTTCTTAGCACCTAACACATCTTTCCGATATGTTCTAGAATCTCAGCTATTTCTCTTTTCATGACATTTTAAGCACTGTGAATTAGGTTATAAAAAGGTAAGTTCAAATCTTTTTAAGAGACAGCTAGTTACCTGACTGATACTGAGTATTTTGCACAGATCAGATATTTTTAAACGTGCATAAGCATTTTAAAATACTTTTGCTCTTCCAAATGCTGTAAAACAAACATGAGTACTATGCCAACAGGAATCTGTGGGAAAATTTGAGTGATGCCTGTTCACACTACACCTACCTCATTACAAATTTTATTACTCATTCATTTTAGTAAGCTCTAATCTAGGTTATTATGCCACACCCATCACCATGGGAATATGACTTAAAAGTGCCAGAAATACTTTGCTATTCAGCTTTTTCTCAGACCTTGTAGTGTGATCTGATTGCAGTTTCAATACACAAAAACCATTTGAGTAGTTACACCTGGCAGATTCAAGAAAATCAGTAATTGCAAGCATGTTCAGTGCAGCAACAATACAAATATATAGTACTTGATAGGAAAAGTGAATTACAGACAAATAGCTTAGAGATCAAGATTAATTCACTCCTAACCACGAGAGAAAAAGCAGGGATAACTCCCCATCCCTAACTAGCTGTATGTCTTACAGCAGCAGCAAACACAAGCAAGAGTTTTGCTCATTGGTTCTGCTCAATCTTCCATATCCATATCCAGTCTTATCCATACTGACCACCACCTCCATAGAAAGGACAATTTAAGAGATAAGATTTAAAGAAGCAATTTAAAAAAATACCTCCGAATGCCCAGTATTTTGTGCGATTACTCTTACTTCAAATCAATTACTAAGAGTTAAAACCCAAAATTATACAGTTCCTGCCACAGGCCGTCTGCTTTTCTGAGATCAGAACATATACATTACAAAAATCTTATTTTAAGAAAAAAAAAAAGTATTATAGGAACTTTTATAAGTTTTCTTTACAATTTGAAAGGCAAAAGAACATCAAATGAAAGTATTCTATTCCCAGCTATGTTTTGCTTTACCAGGTAAGCGAAGAAATTTTTAGGCTAACAGGGGAGAAGTTTTTTGTTTTCATGTATGGGTTATACAGATCGTTAGTGAAAAAGTGTTTGGACTTTGCAGCCCCAGCTTGAAACTAAACATCTACAGCTGTTTAAGACTGAAAGAATAAGAAAAAGAGGGATAAAAGTCCTTAAAAGATAGTATAGGTGGTCTAATAGTTCATGGTCTAATTCATAACATATATCAATTATATTGATATATCAATTATATTGCTATATCTATACAGAAAAGAATGAGCACTGGTACCAAGTAATACTTGACTTACCCCCCAAAACATATTCAAGACAGACAGGGATAATAGCAAGCCTAAAAGGAGCAAGTCTAAACACCTGCTAACGGTTTTGCAAAAGAAGCACCAAAGGAATATAAATATTTACAAAAGCGTGGAGTCTTTTGTTATGTTAAAACCCAAGATTGTTAAATTAATCCCAGCTGTGGGAATTTTAATTCAAGTGTGTATGTAAGTGTGACAGCATGGGCCACATGATTCTGATTGTAGCAGACTGCAGGTGAAGGAGAAAAACATTTGCTGACTTGAACAACTAGTCAATCCAGTCACTTTGGGACAAAAATTCCAGTGGATATAAAATGTGGACCCAAACACAGTCCGCTCCTGTCCCAAGCCCCCCCCAATAACATCTGCTTTAGATAACAGAAGACATCATCTTCCAAAAATGATAAAGATCCGTATCCCCAACTAGCTTGTGTGCAGCAAATACCAGAGTGGCCAAAGTGATAAAAAAGGCTGAACAATTTAAAATTCAAAGCCTTATAAAATTAAGGGATTTAACATATTTAAGAATTTAGAATGTACCATCACATTAAAAGCCGTATTGCCGAAATGACTTCACTTTACCCTTTCTCTAATACCTTCAGTATAAATCTCAGAAGCAATAAAGTTAACAGCTACTTTAGGCTGGGAGGTTGTACCAATATTGAAGAGTTACCTATTCTGATCAATTAGGTGGAAGGGTGATTTATTATGAAGTTATTGTGAACAGACAGAGCGCTAACAGGTACTAAGTATATAAAGATGATTTTCATCTTGCAGTTTCCGTAAGCAAGGCAGAAGTACACAAGTTCTCCTGTGAAGTTTAGGCCACATGTCCTACTAAAGAAGCATTTCATAAGAGCTATTAAAAAAAGATCTTCTAAGGTGTGGGGAGAGAACTGCATGTTTAAAATATGAGCACCTCAACACACCCAAAAGGTGTGTACACTTGAAATCATTACCTCATGGCCTGCATCGCATTGTCATCCGCATGCGAATGATGCAGCACGCAGCACGTAATGGCTTGTGTAAACTGTCATTACCAGCTTTTAACTCCCTGGGAGGAGGAGGCACAGAGGAAGTACAAGATATCTATACACTTCCCAACAAAGAGTTCTTTGTAAAGTGTGTAGGAGCTGGAAGCAACATATTATTTCGTTATCCATTCCTGTTACAGAAAGTAATGCTATTTCTCCTGTAAATGATGGGGGGAAAAAGCCGTTAGTTTTAGCACATACGATGAACATTTACCTTGAGCACTGCTTTCCAAATGCAACCAGATAAACTGAACTGTTATATGCTGCCAAAGGTTTTTTCAGCCTCTCAGAAGACAAGCAGCTCGTATCTAAAGACACTTTGGTTTTCCCTTCCTGTAAAGTTTAGAGGAAAAAAAAGGAAATAAATATAAAAGTTTTAACTATAAAAAGCCTGGGGTTCTTGTCAGCATTCAGAATGTACTAATATCATATATTGTAAGGATCTTTGGGACATACGTACTATCTGCAAAGCCGAGAATTTTACAGAGTAAGTTCAGCCTCTGAAGTTATCTTATCAAACCCACCTTTGAACATCCCCCCTTCACAAGTCAATACTTGAAAATACTTTGGCTTACTATGCATCTCACTTGGCTAGGAAGACCTTTTTCCTGCATTTGTATAAGGACAAACAAATGCTTTACCAGCGCCAATGAACACTGTTAAGTCAATCTAGTACTCCCTCTGTTGGCAATGCAAATTACATACAGTCATTCCACCTACAGGTCCCTCTGCAGACAATTAAAAGAAGGGAAAAACCCTATTAAAACAATTAATTAGCAGAGTTCTAACACTTCTAAGCTTTCAGAAGTGGGCAATTCTTCAGATTATGAAAACTGAATGGTATGGCAAGGTTCTATTTAAGCAGCTAAAATAATTTTATCAGCTTATTGATCACGAGAACCTGAACCCAATAGTGGTGACCCTTCCTAAAATATTTAACTTTATTCATCCTCATTTTAATAAATCTGTTTTTCAAATTATCTTCAGCAGCTCATTTTCAAAAATCAGCAGTTTGATGGTTTAGGACTCAAAAAAAAAAATCTTTCTATAAAAGCTCATTTATTAAACCTCTGTACACAACAATGAACATGTATGTACAGCAAGTTTACATGAAGGATGATGTTACAAAAGATACAGTGGTAATTAAATCTGACCCACATAAATAATTTATAAAAATATTTGAAATGGTGACGATAATGCTGGTAATCCCTGATTATTTTCATCCAATTGTCAGGATTTCGATGTGGGAAATCTTAATGTTGGACCTTTTTAAAAACATTCTGAATATATTAAACTTATCTACAGGATAATTAGCAAAATGTATAAAGTGTAGATTATTGTACAAAGGACAGATATTAAAAAAATCACCAATCCACCTGAAACTCAAGGACAATATAAATCTTAGCCAAAGTAATGAACAGCAAACCACAAACTCCTCTTTTTAGAGTTTCATGTATTGGCAAGTAAATAACTCTTAACAAATCAACAGTCCTGTTATTCCTTAGTGGAAGGATGCAATTTGGGAAAATCCTTCTGTATTTTCTGGCTGCATTGGTGGTCCTGGTCAATACGGAAGCCCTGTGCTAACTTCAGTCCCAAGGAAGAACGGGGCAGAGCTGTATTTGTCAAGATTTTCTCCTTCCCGCAAAAGGATGAGGAAGGCTATCCAAGTTTGTAAAACTGGAAGAGGAAAGAGAAGGAAGCAGAGATTTGAACATAATGAAACAAAGTTAGACCAGTTAAGATGAAGTCTTTTTCTTCTGCTGGTTTCTCGGGGAATTTTTTAACACGCTTCTTATTCGTAGATAAACACCTGTTGATTCTGCCATATTTTCAAATTCAAATGGTGTTATGCCTGCAGCAAACTTGCTCATGTCAGGAACAAGACTGGAGTTTTTTGCAGCTGATTCAATGCTTGTGACCTCTTTATTACCACCTGTATTTTCTCCATTGTTAACCTCATGGCTGGGAGCAGGCATGGTGTTATCCAGCAAGCCTTCAGAATCTGTATTATCAGGATTTTCCTTCAAGTTAAGTAAACCGTCTCCTGGATTAGGACTAGTTACAGAACGTCCATTTTCTGGTACCTGTTCACGGATGTCGGAAAACCTGGTTTCCACTGTAATCACCTCATCAGATGATCTTACTTCTGCAACAAGATCTACTTCATTCCTAGATGGTGATGATGTAACAGAATTGCCAGTTAAAGGTGTATCAACAGGAATATCAGAGTCACTGTTTGTGCTTTCTGCCTGCTCTAGTGCTGCCCAGATTAATCGCTGCTGTTCCTCTAGCTCTTCCAGGGTCAGAGTATCTTCATCCATGATTGAATCCACTATTTTTGGCTGAGGGGTATCACTGGAAGGATTCAATGGTGGAGTAGTCCTAGGAAGAGGAGGGCGGGTGGCTGTTGAAGGTTGAGTTGCTGTAAGATTTAGTGGTGGTGTTCCTCGTGGTAAAGGAGGAGGAGTTGACATCGATGGACGTCCAGGTGGCAGCGGAGGTTGGAACTGAAAACTGCTAGGAGTTTGAGATCTTTGTGACACTTCCAGATCTAGAAACAGATTGAAAGACATCTATGAGAATCTGAAAGCTGACTTGGACAAGATTCAAAGTGCCACTGCTCTGATTAACTAGACGACTTAAGTCTTCTCATCCTTGGTTTTCAGCTGACACAGAACAAACTTCTTCAAAGTTTTAATATCCACTGAAACTATGGTTTTGGGGATTTCAACTCTGCTAGCCACTCAAGGGAAAAAAAAAAAAAAGATAAAATACTCTTGAATGTATTGAGAACACACTTATTCCACACTGAGACACACTGAAAGATTTCCTCATAGGAAATCCAAAAGGAAAGCCTCCAGCTATTCTAACGTTTAAACAACACTGGAAATCCTCCTGTGAGTTTGACTCATTTTTAAGAAGCTGTGAGCTTGTAACTTCCTACATTATTTCATCCAAACATTTAAGGATTTGGAGGTCTTCATAACACAAGTTTCCTCAGGATACACCTGAAATAAAGAGATTGGAATTTGTAACTTAACATTCCAATTGCTCTGAGCACACTTATTTGGTATCGGGAGAAATGACAACCACAGCAACTGAGAATGCTTATTGTAGAGAGGCCCAAATGCAACTATAGGAGGACACTGCTACCATACGTTAGCAGCTACATTAATCACCACCATAACAAAAACTCACACATTGGTTTCTCTTTATGAACACTGACATTTCAAATCAGAGCAAGTTATTTTGAAAATAAAAATTGAAACTAGGAAAAAAAAATTGCAGAATAATTATACCAGAATCTAGGTCCATGTCAGATGCTGGTACCTCTGAATTGTCTTCTTTTGGCCGTTTTGAATGATGAGAGCTTGACTGAGATGCAGCCCTTTTATTACTAGATTTTGGACTTGGCTGAAGAGAAATTATCCAAGAAAACAAAATAAATTAGTATTATATTGTACAAGGTAGTATTTCCAGCTATTAGAACGTATTTAAAGCATTTCATAAGCACACAATCATTTGGCAACTCAGTGTGTAAACTAGACACTGAAGTCTGAGAGATTTAATGCAACTGAACAGAACTGTAGTCTCGTTCAGGTTTAAGTGCCAAAAGAAAAAACTGTCTGCATTCCTAACACAGAATTACGACCAAGTTTCCACCTGGAAACCTAGATCTTATGAGACCATTACAACGCAAGCACTGCACGTCCCTTCCTGGCAGGTTTAGAATTTACCATTTAATTCCATATAGCATTACTCTTTGGGACTGAGAGCAAAGCATCCATCTTCCATCCTTAACTGCAAGTTTTCTGCAGTAGATAACACTAAGCTAGAGTCATGTTAGAGAAGACCAGAGAACGATACAGGACAGGACTACCATGTGTTTACTCAGGTCACTATAATAAGATCATGACTATGGCATGTAAGTTTTTCACTTATCTGGGAAGTCTGGAACTAAGACCATTTTTAAGCTGTAAAAGTTTATAGCAACCTTTTTCCACAACTGGGATATTGCACAATTGGGATCTGCTTATATTAATTGAAATAATGGAATTTGTTCTAAACTTGAAGCTCCTTTTTGTTAGAATAGATAAGCCAAGCATCAGCATTTCACGCCTGGTACTGTCAGTAAGAAAGCCTATCCCCTTGTGGAAAAAAAAAAAAATTATAAACAAGAGATCATCACTGACTACACTGACCACAAGACAACTTTTTTTGTTTTGCAAATAACAATGAGATATACTCACCGCATGAAAATTAGAAAGGTAGTTAGCAAACACATCCTTCTGTTGAGATGGCTGCATGGGGATGGAACCAAATATCTGCCATTCCTACAGGGAAAAAAAAAAAAAAACCCAAAAGAGAAATAACATTGCATGTAGTTGGCTAATAACATAAGAGAGAAACACTAAGAGATTAACAAGCCAAGATGAATTCAAGTTCTCATCAAAAGCCTCATTTATCAGAGTAAATAGATCTTCAGTAGGAACTTCTTGCAACTCAAAGTACTTTCACCTGTGAACACAAAAAACTGATGCAATGCACTATGACTGGGTAGTAGGAATAATAATAAGTATATATATGTTTTTATGTATATATAAAATTATATTGTTTATATATAAAATTATATTTTATATTACTTATAATATAAAAACATACTTATAGCAGGTTATATATAAATCTGTTTATATATAAAAATGTGTTTATAACAAATGTTTTATAAATGTTTATATATACATAAAAATGTACACATATATACATTTTTATATACATAAAATATAAATATTAAAAAACATCACCTTTACGAAATGTCTCATTGAACATTTCATAGCAACTACTCTTCAATATTTGTAACACAACTACAAACTTCCCCTTGAAATAATTGTTCAGACGAAAAAGCCTTAATTTGAAAAACTTGATTTTTAGTGAAAACTGAAAAAAACTTGAGGACAGAACTTTGGTTAAGAATACTGAATGAAAAAAACCACATTTGGAGGCCACTAAATGGGCAAATGTAAAACTGCAAAAGAAAATGTACAAGTACTTCTTTTTAATTCACAGGCATTAACAGTGATGAAGTTCACTGCTAACAGCAGGTTAAAATGCCTTTGAAAATAAAAGTTCAGCAGCAGCAGCCACAGGAGATTCCTTGTATGGTCTATGCTTAAGAGGGCACCCACTATGTAGGTCTTCAGATACAACTCGTTTTGTTTAGCTGTTACAAAGATTCCCAGAGATTGTGCACTGGTCTGATGTAGCTTTCTATAGCTGAAATTATGACACCCACAGTAATTTTCATATTCCAAGAACATTCAGAAAATTTAGATGTATGGAAGGAACAAGCATTTATGTATGAAGTTTTGTGTTTAAAAAAAAAAAAAAAAAAAAAAAAAAAATCATCGAACTATCCTTCTAGGCTCCTGTTGGTCTCATAATGGAACTGATCACCACAGAAGCACCGTCAGACCCTACACACAAGAGCTGTGACAGATATCAGATAGATGGATGTCACATCAATCACCTCAACAGCCCAGCCCGAAACCAGAATACAAAACACTAAACTTGGCTAAGAGCAATTAATGTTACTCAGCATGTTGTTTAGATGGCAGAGGACAGCCACTTACATCTGGGATCCCACTTGGAGTGGATATATTAAAGCCTGGATAGTTTATCAACTTAGAGACATCATAAGTGATACGTTTTGGTTGACGAGATCCTTCATCTTCTGTTCCACCATCATCTACAATGAAATATAATTATTATTGATACTAATTAAGAACGTTACTTTAAAAATCCCAGGATTTAAGAACAGGGTTTTGGTTTTTGGAATGTAAGTATTGATAGGCAGCTTTGTAATCGACAAAGGCAGTAACAGTGACCAACTCTATCAGACAACATGCACAAAGCTTCCCCAGAAATCTAACTGGGTATTCATACTACTACTCCTCTTTATGTACCATTACTAGCCTCAGAATTTGGCATCAGGACTGTTCTCTGAGATGCAGCATAAATGCTGGTCATTAGTAAAAAGCTGGTAAATTACTTGATAAGTTGGGTTTTGAGAAATGTATTCTTTGCTTGCTGGTGGTCTTCTTACTCTTATTATAGAAATTATTGAACTTTAGAGAGTACTATGGTTTCTTTCATAAAACATAAGAGAAGCTTATTAAAAAAAAGAAGAGGAATAGACAATAGACTATGCAAGCCTCGAATAGTTTCACAGGAACACCATGTTCTAATATCAGGGGTTGACTGAGTAAAATCACCCTGACAAACCAATCATTATAAAGTTGTTTCATTGTCACAGCGTAGCTAGATGAAAGGGCAGTATTTTTACATGACTTTAGAAAAGAAAACTTGATTTACAATGTTCTCACTATTCCATGAGGAAACAAAGGTTTATAAACTAGGTGCTTCACTGTCTCCTGAATAGGGTGCAGCCAGTAAATAGCCTGCATACCAAAAACTGCGTTCCCGCAGCACATTCCTTACCTTTTCCATCATAAAGCGCAAGTCCCGAGTACTCCATTTCAGCCTCCTTGAGCCAACCTGGAGGATAACCCAGCTGTCGCATACGATATATAAATGGAGGAAGACTCTTATCTGTGACACCAAGTGCATCTTGAAGTTCCTCACTAAGTTAAGAAAACAAAACAGAAAACAAAAAGTCCTCCAGTAAAATCTGTAGCTGAGTTTTGACAAAAAGAAGTTACGAACATTGTGTTGAATTTTAAACTATCAAGTTAAAATAACTTAGTTTTTGCTCAAACTATGTTGCTGGTCAATCCCAGATAAAATGATTTTAGGTCAAAACCAGCTCTGATGTTAAAGATAACTTTTAACACTTTCATTTCTCTATACAAGTGTACATATGCTTTAACATTTTGTGAGAATTAACTCTACGCTGAGTACAACTTACTCAACTTGTTATTGGCCTTAACTATAGCTATCACGACAGGGTGGAACTTAACGCAACACTAAATTTATTAATAATTTCTTTGGAGACTGCTACAAGCATATTATGATTTTTTTAAAACATTTTGAATAGAGAGAAAAAGAGAGGAAGGGACGCTCAAAGCTCAACATTTTCAGAATCTTGCATGCATTTTTAGTCTATTAGGAACATAATATATTTGCAATTTGAGTAGCCAAAGAGTAAAATTTGTCTCCCTACATTAGGGGAAGCGCCATGGGAAAGGGTAGGACTATTAAGCTAGCAATGAGTTTTCATTTAAAAAAACATCTGAGCAATTTATTAAGCAAAATTTTATTTAGCAAACAAATTTGAACGTAATACACTCATAGCTAAGAGTAGCAGATGGATTTATAGAACTCTGAAAAGTAACATCTGGCACTCTAAAGGTAGAAAACGTATTCCAGAAAAGCAGTGCAACAGCTAATAGAAGGAAAAAAAGATACCTAATTACTCCTGGTTTAAATTTTCCAAACCTCTCTTCTACTTCTTCTGCATGATAACGCTGCTGAAAATTCTGATTGCTTGCTTCACCACAAGCTTCCATAAACTCCTTTCTCTTCTCACTTATGCGAGCTGCATTTCGTGGCTTAAAGATAATACAATTGGGAAGTTTAGATTTGGACAATTTACAATTTATGCACTCCGTCACCCAACATAAAACTGGTACTCCTTGCCCTCAGGATGCTTAATCACTTATCACACAGCCATGCGATACAACTACAGTTGTAATGAAAACTACACAGCAAAAACCCAGGAGTATTTGCATTAGATCTAGCGGAGCTCTAAAACAGGAAGAAAGGCTGTTCACACTGAAAAATGCCCCTCCATAAATTAAGGGAGACATTCAAACCATTATGCTACAAAATTCATTTACGTTCTGATTTAGTATGTTAGAATTTTTAATTAGGAACAGTACGATCTAATCAACAGAGATGAGTAACCATCTGTACATCCTGACCCCAATGCATCCAATTTTTATTTTTTTAAAAGGTGTGGTTACACTGAAACATTTCTTGGAGAGCTGCAGTCTTTTGAATACTGATGTAGACTTTACCTTTGGACAGTCTTTCATTTGATGGTCTTCAGAACCACAATTGAAACAATGCGATTTTGGCCTGCTTAAAAAATGCACAAGAAATTAAACCTGAAAAATCATTTTGCAATGTTAAATGCACTTGATTATTTTAAATCTTGTTAGATTTTTAGTTTTAGACTTAGAAAGAAAAAATGTAAGTATTGCTTGCTGATTTCCTATGCTGTCTTCTGCATCTCTCAAATTTTGACTCTTAAATTGTCACTCTTCAAAACAGAGTAACAGAATATTGTTTATTTCACAGTCCTAAGGAGAACACAAGAAATGAAGAAAACACAGGCACAGCATTGGGAGAGAAAAAAAAAAAAAAATACACGACAGCATGTGGAGAGGAAAGAAGAGAGAAAGAAAGACAGAGGAAAACTAAAATTACAGTGGAAAAGCAGTACTTTCAGGCAGAAGTGGAGTTCTAGATCCCATATAATAGAGATCTATTTTTTTAAGAGGGAACAGAATAGTCATAGAATAATTCAGGCTGGATAGATTTTTAATCCTGTCCCTTAATCAAAGCTGGGTCAGCTATGAGATCAGACCAGGTGGCTCAGTGCTTTATCCAGTTGGGTCCTGAATCTCTCTCAGGATGAAGACTGCATAACCTCTCTAGGCAACCTGATCCAATAGTTCACCATCCTAAAGGTGGAAAAGCTTTTCCTTATATCATGCTGCAGACAGAAGAGTATTCACCGAAGGCTTTCTGCTTCTGAATTAATACGTAAACAATTGCTTAGATAATGCTGATAAACGAAAACAAGACCTACACACTAAAGCTTATGCTATGTCCAGAGGAAAGAAAGTGAAGATGTTAAAACAATACTTTTAACTCTAGAGTACAGATAATGAACCCAACAATTGAATACACCTGTAGTACATCAATACCTCTATTTCTGCTTTTATGCTTGTATCATCAGAGGTCTGATCCTTTTTACGATACTGAGAATCAGTTACCAGTAGAAACAAGTAGGAGAGCATGACTACTTCTTTGGGAAGTCCTGGTCCACAGTTTGAACACGTTAGGCATATTGTGAAATTGTGCACTGAAAACCTGGAATGGAACTGCAGCTGACTTCAAATTTAATTTTCCTTGTAAATTCATACCATGACAGCAAACATTTTCAACATTATAGGGCGGAAAATCCTAATCTCTTAAAAGATTTTAGAGAAAGATTTTCTGAACATTCATTTTACTGAACTAGGATAGGAACCAGGATTGGAGACAAAAAGGTGACACAAGGATGTGTCCAGGGTAACCCCCCACACACACGCACTCCAACCTCTTGAAGCCTCTAATTAGACAGTAAAGCACATCATCTGCTTCATCTTATATCTGTATTCAAACAGAAACCTTCTGCAGTGAGCCAAGTATTTAATTTATCACCATCCCATATCTTAAGCGCAACCCTTCAATCTGCCTTCCATTCAGACGGTAGTATTTCTAATCAAACCAGAGTTTAATTCAGCATGACCCTTTATCTTTGCAATTCCCACTGAAAGCTTGCCTGGTCTTCATTGCATCTGAAATCAGTGACTTTTGATGCTATGAAGACCACACAAGCTGTCAGTTGGAAACTCGATTTGCTTTACTTCTTACCTCCTGTAAGAGCTACGCAATCAGCTCTAAGATCAGTCTGTTTTAAAAGTGTATAAAATAAGTCAGACAGGAGTTGTTCTACAAAACAGTAAGAATGATGATAGTACACCAGGGCAAGGATGACAAAGCAATCACTAAAAAGGCAAGCAACAGAAGAACTGAGTATAAACTGAGTATAAAGTTTTTACACATTGATTTTAGGCTCTTCCTAAGGAAAGTCAATAAACAAGAGACACCCACTGACTGCAAAGCTCATCACTGGTTTACTTAATTTAAACTCATCGCTCGAGTATGTTCAAAGGTTTAGCATACTGGGGAATAATCACAATGTACATTTGAACTTTTCAGCTCAAAACTTTATATTTAAGAATAATACAAACCTTTTTGGTTTTACTTGTATTTCTTGTCCATCTAGGGAGAGAATCTGGCTGAAAACTTGCTGATATCTTTAGATTTCAATAAGGAACTGCTACTGGATGAAGCAAAATTTCAATCTTGTTTAAAATATCAGTGAAAACCTATTAGTGCTTTGAACAGAATACTGACTCTTCCAGATTAAGTTACAGATGGGTCCTTGACATGAAGTCTATAGTAAAACTATAAAACTATATCTACTATAAACTATTTGCTAAGATGGGCTCACGTTGTTTCCTCCTACCTAATTTCTATCCAATAACCAATTTTGTTCTTTATCAGCAATTGCTGAAACTACAACCCTCTTGTTCATAGGCATTAGTTTCAAGTTAATAATTCTGATATGCTTCATAGCAATCTTAGTAATAACATACTTTGGTAGAGTTTCAAAAATATAACTCACTTCTGAAGTAGGTGGAGACAGGTCGTATCATACTACTTGTGTTTGCTTTTGCACTTCTATGTGTCAGCCACTCTGCCCACTTGTCCAAAAATGTACGAGAAGACAAGAGGGCCACAAGCAAACCAGCATGGTAAAGACTAAGAGGCACAGCAGAGCTCAGAAGCACGGCAGTTTCTAGAATCTAACAGTTGCTTTTAAAAAGAAGAGCAGATGCCAGATACTAGTCAAACTGATGCATTAACTGAGTGCAGTACTTCAGTGATTTAGAAGCACGGTACCGGATACACCATTTCACTCAGAAGCATGTGCTATTTTAGCCTTAATGTCATCTGTGGGAGCTCTAAAGAAAGAAGCAGTTAAGTACAATTAAAAGAACAGTATCAAAGCTAAGCTGGCAGACATGAAAGTGTAGCCACACTTCACTTGGCACTTTAGGAGAAATTCCCCTGTCAGGCATCTACTTCCTTCATCTGGAGGCTGGGAGATGGTACAAATATCATTTGGAGAATAGGATTGACTTGATGCACTATCACAGAAACAGTTTTCCAAAAGTGAAGTTACAGCACAGTGCATACACAGTCAAAGGCAGGCACAAGAAAACCCAGGTTAGCTGGCTTCGAAATTTCCAATTTTTGTTAAGATACAAGTAATTTTTTAACACTAGGAAATGACCTTTACTATAAGCTGGATAACTAGATATTGTAGAAATGAACTGTGAAACTGGTTCTTGTCCTGACTCTTTCTGGGGGAGAAGCAATACTGGAAAACTGGGAAGATGAGATTACTCGAGAAATTTCTTGCCCAATTTATTTTTTGTCATGGAGGACTACAATATTAAAAACCACTTTTTCCAACATTTCCCTCAATCCTACTTTTCAAATACTGGCTTTAATAAGCAATAAAGAACCAACTATAAAATGGATGCAAGTTAAGAGCATTCCATAATTAAATTTTATTAAACAACTTTCTCTCTGTCTCCTACATTTGGAAAAAACCCCACCTTACAGCGTTATTTTGAGTTTGCCAAGCCCTTTTCTTCTCCCAGACAGCAGATTTTATAGAGGGAAAATGCTTATCCGTATCTGGAATGAGCTGTCATTCCAAACCTGATTACAGAGTGGCCCAGGAAATTCCTAAAGTCACAAGATGCATTTATGAGGCATTCACTCCTCCCAATCATAAGCCTTCTAAAAATCAGCGAGCTGATCGTATCAGAAGATTTACATGCTTTGAGTAAAAAAGCCATTAATGACTCCTTAAAACTTCTCATCTCTAATGACTGATACTGTTTTGACAGAAATGAACAATCTACTGAACAGTATTTGAGTTCGATTTACCAACTGGCATTCTTTGGATTTGACAAACGGAAAAAAACCCTTGGTTTAGTAAACAGGATACTTAGGTATTTCCCATCCTTCTGTCAGCTGTGGATTCTCATTTAATATAGGCTGTCCCAGTTTATCAAGACAAAAATTGGTAAAATACAGAACACTTCCTACAACCTGTAGAAAAAAAGTCAGAAAATTGTCAGAAATGTGTCAGTATTTAGGTCAGATTGGTAGCATTTCTATAAATTTACACTGCTTGAAATACTTCCAGGTTTTTTTTCCCCCACTCTGTAAGAATTTACAAAATACGCGCCCACACCTGTACAAATAAGTATTTTTTCGACTGATATAGCCAAAACATGCTGAACTTAACTGCTATTACACTGATAAACGAAATTTAACAAGATCTGATTTTAATGGCAAGGTATATTGAATATTTAGAATGAAGAGTCAGACCTACCATTGAAGAGTATATAGTCAAAAACTTACACTAAAAGCTTCTTTAATTTTTTTAACAGAATTTGAGCTTGCTGTTTTATGGTCTTCTTCCAAAAGAACACTGGAGGGCTGTAAAAATGCATATAATTAATTTAAAATAACAGTAAAAAGAAAAGCTCCTAAATTACTAAAGTATGTAAAAGGAACAGAACATGGAATACAGATTCTATTCTTTCATGAAACGTTAGTTAAACAGTAGGATAGAAATGTCTGCCTTAGTCATAAAGCTTTCCATAGTCTGAAGTATGACTTGGTTAATTTCTAAGGTTTTCTTTGATAAGAAATATGCTGCATAAGAACATCTTTGTTCTTATCTCAAAAAGCTAAGAGAAAGATGGAGAGAAACGTGCCATTCCACCGTGCTAAAAAGTGAATGTTAAGTAAAACTCAAAATTCTAAACTAAGAGAAGTGGAAATTTCCAAATTCTGTTGTTCATCTATGCTCTTATACATACATGGGCCAAATGCAATCAGAAGAGGATACATTAAGTTTGTACCTTACGGTCATTTCTCTATTGTTTAAACCAACTTACTACGTTGCTTTTACACAAATTTCATAGGCACAATTTTAAAGAAGCATTTTCATGGGCAGAAAGGGTATTTTCTTTGACCTGGTCCTCTATTTTTGGAACAAATAGTTATACAGTATTTGTCTGTTACTTGACTTGCAATTAAACAGGAAAAAAACATCTAGAAATCAGCTCTTTGAAGTGTAGTATTTCTGCTCTCTAGCAGTATAGTATTTCAATATTCCCACCATAAAGATACAAGAGAAGGACCACGTAATAACAATCTGAGTTTGAAAGTACCTGTGGCTTAACGTTGAAATGCGTTTTTTCTTGTTCACCTCTCTTCTGCTCTTCGTATTTATGAACTAAATTAAAAACAAAATCTTCAATTTCTTGATGATACTGCCTGTAATGGAGCAAAAAAGTATACAGAGATGAGGACATGAGGAAGATTGAAACATAACCCAAGTGTCTTTTTTTTTTTTTAAGCTTTTACCATTTACTGCTTCTTAAGAACTTAGAAAAGGGGCAGTCAACTTCTCTCCAGTCCTCCTCCAAAAGCCCACCAATATGGTGGCAATCTATTATTAAAGAGCACCCTTATATTAGCGTGGCACAAAAACAACTCAGAGGCAGGGAAAATTTAATTTACTGTATTTACCCACAGCACTCATGAAACTCCAGCTGCTATTCAGACTCAGTCCAAGTTCCTGGAAGTCACACTTCATTTCATGATAAAAAGAGATATTGCTAATGAAAGCAAGAGACCTCCTGTCATATCGCTCATTATCCTTTCTCCCCTTCAAACTTAACAAGTTTATGTTATTGAATAAAACGTATATCCACCCTTTGGGCAAATGCTAACATATCCAAACAAACAAGTTCCACTTCCTGCCAGGATTGCTTTTCTTGGGAAGTACTTACTTAGAAATTACATTGTTCATAAATAAAATCTGTAACAGAGGTCCATCAAATTTGGAGTTGTCCACTGAAATTCCACTAGAACAGAGCAAAGACACAGACAATGGTTACTGTATTAGCTTTATAGTAAATATTCCCTATCTGTTTTATCACAGCAAGGAGTCTGTAGTCCACAGAGAGGGGACAGTTTGGCCTATACAAGTTCTGCTCTTTTAAGAAGTTCCTATTCACTTAAACAGAAATCATCCTCTTCCAAGCAAAGCAGGGTGCCTGGTGTGAGGTAGAAAGAAAACAAACCAGAAGTTTTCTCCTAACTGCAGTAAACTGTTAGAAGGTCTTATATAAATAAGATCTCTTATTTATTCAACCATTTTAATGTACTTGTTCTCACTGCTGAACTTGACAAAAAACTGTTTCCCTAAAGGCCATGTAAGTTTCATAAACAGACAGATACACACAAATAAATAAAGTTACAGCAATACAAACTAAGTTCTTGATATTCAAGCTTAAAAGACTTTTCAAGAATGATAACAGCATTTTAGAAGCCCAACATCTGAGCAGGGACGGGGACACAGAAACAAGGTTTCTAAAAGATGTGGCAGGCATTGTTATCTCAGACAAACTATTTCACATGTACATAGGTCACGAAGCGTTTTAAATCAGCATTAACATACCTAGGACGAGTCAGAATATTCAGCTTCCTTTTAAGTTCCTGATGTTAATTTATTGTTAAGGAACATTACTTTCTTCAGAAGGCACAGACCCATGCCTTAATTAATTAAAAGATCAAAACAAACAAGAAAATACCTAACAAGAAATCCACCGAGTAACAAATAGGGTTTCAGGCTTTCCTTTTCACTTCACAGATTATTCATAAATCCACCTTTTGCTGGAGAAATACAATCAAATGAAAAAAAAACCCCAAAACCAAACAAAAACCCACATGACAGAGAAGACTGTGTCAACCTGAATAATATAATTAATTACAAGCACTATGGCTGAACTGTCAGATTTATAGTATTTTACCTTAAAAATACTTATAATAATAATAAAAAAAATCAACAGTAAGACACAGATACTTGTAAGTAGAAAATAAAACTATAAAAAACCATTTCAGATTCCACTCTGTGGCAGCATCAAACCCCAGAACCCTTTAGGGACTTCAAATTTAACAATTCAAAACTATTTCTAGCTATTGTAAAAATGGGATTTCAAAATGAACATAGTCTTTTCCCTAGAAAGACGGAAAGGAGGAGTCCAGCATACTTGTAAGCAGAAAATAAACTATAAAAAACCATTTC